CATGTGTAGGAGGATAGGAGGCAGGGAGGAGGAGGAGGAGGCGTGGGGAGGAGGGGAGAGAGCGCGGGGAGCTGGGTAAGTAAAACGACGAGTTCCGCATGCGATTTCGGAGATGTACTTAAAGTGTCGGAACGTCTTTTAATGATTGACAGGGAGCCCTGTAGTAAAACGCAATGTTCCAGGGATACTCCATGTGCACACGGCACCGCATTCCGAGTGAACCAGCCGCGGGCGGGATAGCTAGTCGACGTCCAAAACCAAGTGAATGTATACAACAAAGCGCACGTCGATTAGCGAAACCGACTGGGGACTGCACCGGTTCACTCGAATGATGTCGTGTGAACCAGTGTAGATTTTATCAATCGACTTGTCTGGGAGGGTGTTCTCTCGCCTGGCACCCGACAGGGCTGGCTCACCTTTCAAACCCCTATTTGCTGCCCCTGTCCTGCCGAAGCCCGCAATGCACCTCCAAGTGCCAAGGGGGAGAGCTGGCTCATAGACATGTCCTGGCTCGTTAGAGCCATTTTGCGCTCCCGCTGGCAACACTTACTTGGGAGCGTACCAGTATAAGGCTGTGGTGATGCACTTGCTCGTCAGCCGGCTCATGTTAACATGCTTCAGCTTGGCATCAACATCGCAACTTTTTAACTCCTTGCGCAGGTGAGCGGCGATAAGAAGAAATAACTCTGGCACTGTAAGTGCGTATAACGCCCCCTACATGTACGGGTGGATCGCGGCAACTCCGGCGGCCACCTGCTCGAATGTCTTCGAGAACGTGGCGTCGGCCTTGGGCTCCATGACCATGATGATGCTGATGGGGCGGCGAGTCTGGCAGGCGCCGCCGAGAACGTGCCGAGACGAGACGTAGCAGTACTTGATCCCTTTCTCCTCGCAGACGATCGGCACATGGGCGAACACGTCCATGGGGTAGATGTCGCCTGCGAGGAAGCAGACGCCTTTCTGGCCCTTCCGTATGGCCTTCGTGACTTCTGGCACTCCGCGACGGGTGGCCCCCTTCTCCGCCACCGCCTTCTTGAGCAGCTTCAGCGCCCTGTCCAGCAGCTTGTCCGTGATGAGCGGCTGCGCGAGCGGCGAGGTGTAGAGGCACTTGCGCTCCTCGGCCTGGCGGTATGGGTAGACAAGGGGTGTCCGCCACCGTGGCCCCACAGGCGCGTGGAGGCGCGGTTACCGGGTGCCAGATGCTGTCTGGGATGGATTACACGTCGTTCATTTCTAGTCGTGCTCATTTCTAAGTTCCTGGCCCCTTAGTGGCCAGGAAGAGGCCCAGGATAGAACAATTAGAAACGAAAGGATCTCGGCCCCCCAAAAACAAAGAACTTTCCAATATTTAGAAATGAGCAGTGTATGAACGTCTTTGCGACCCCCCCCCTCTCCTAGCACCCTTCCGAGTCCATGGCCCCCCCACCCCTCTCGAGGACGCCCGGTCGCCCCGACGCCGCCCTGGCGCTCTCCAGTGCACCCTGGATGCCCGAGGCGACTTCCGAGACGACCCAGGCAGGCTACCCAGGCCGCCAAGAGGGCGCAAGATCGCCTCAAACCGCACCCGGGGGCCCTCAGAAGCGACAACTGAGCCCCAAGAGGCCTCCAAGAGGCCCCAAGACACCCCCTGGACGCTCTCTGCAGGAGGCCCTCGAGAGGTGAAGCACATGCTCCCCGAGCGTTCCAATGCTGTTCGACACCCTTCGGTCCAAGGTCGAGCCACTTGCGGTCTTCGAAATGCCCACAAATGGATCACTAAGAGCCACAAGTGGGCTCCGAGACGGTCCCAAGAAAGCCTCAAGCACGAGCTCGGAACCGTTGTCTAGGCGCGTCCCAGCGCTTCCCGCACGCGCATCGGGAACGGCCACGAGACACGCTGTCGGCTCTGGCAAGTCTTTGCAAGGATCGTGGGCTGGCGATTGTCCGAGCGCGGACCTGCTCAACCACAGGCTGGCCTCTTGTCCAAAACCCCTTCTGCTCCAAGGAGCTCGCCGCCTCCTGGCGCCAGAGCCCCCGTTCTATCAAGGAAGTGGCCATGCGGTGCAAGGCCACTTCCAGCTGCACGCAGCAGATGACCCCTCAAACTCGAACTCGCCCCAGCCGCCGACAACAACGCCCGAACGCCACCGCGTGAATGCACAGGGACGATCACGCAACATCGAAAAGGGGAATCGGCTCAGACCCGACCGTGCGGCGGATCGGGCCGCAGCTGCACCGGGGTCGGAATCGAATCGGATCGGCTGGGCAAAACTGCACAACGAAGCCATTCGAACATCGGGATGCATCGGGCCGCCGGAATATCGGACTCAAAACGGACCGAGCCAGCTTTAGCCGATATCGAATCGGATCGATCGGATCGGCATGGCGCTTGCTTTTCACCCGCCCCGGGCGATGCTCCGACAACTTCAAGAGCCGTCGACGCGGGATCAAAGCACACATCGCCATCCGTGCGTTGCTTTGGCCCTCCATCCCCCCTCTGCCGCTGAGGAGCAGCTAAATTTTCGGTCGCGCACGTCTGGCTGACAACGCGGAAGTCGTCTTGCGCGAGAGGACACGGCGAGCTCACGCGGTGGCTTCTTGTGCGGCATACCGCGTGGCAGCGAGGGCGCTGGCGCGCCACCTCGCGCGGGCAGATCGCGCGCCAGCGTCCGCCCTGTCGGCCTCGACCCTTCTCGTCGCCCCTGCGTCAACCGCGGAGCCTTGTCGCCGGCGTCCTCGTCCGCCATTGGGCCGCGCTGCGGAGGCACCCTGGCGGCGCGGACTCTGCTCGTGGGCCGAGGCGCCTGCGGGCGCACACGGAGGCGGCGAGCGCGGTGAGGCGAACCACGTCCGTCCTCGTTGGGGGCGCTTCGGAGAGCGCACACCTGCTCGACCGCTCGATCCAACACTCTTGCCAGCCATGCGAAGCCCGGCGGCTGAGGCGGAGAGAGAGCAGAGTCGTTGAGCACAGGTGCCCAGTGTCCGCCACTGGGCAGAGTACAAGGCTGTGGGCGACAGGCGCGTGGCAGGGGCCAGCGCCCAAGTCAGCTCGCCACGGGGGGAGGCGTAGGAGCGGGAGGACGACGAGGAGTGGCACCTGACTGCGCCACAGAACCATCATGACATCGACGGCGGCGGCAGCAACGCGAACACGAGATGAGAACGGACGAGGAGAGGAGAAGGACAAGAGCAAGCCCAGGATGGATTCACGATTCGGCGATACATCCCCGCTTCACACGGCCTTACAAGCATGTTCGCTTCGCTGAGCCAAGCGCCCCATTGAGGGACATGGCCCGATGTGCCAGCAATTCAGGCGTGAACTGCGCTCTGGTGCCCGAAGATCGCGATCACATGCAAACCTGTAATCGAAGAAGATGTCCACAGACCACCCCGCTCCGAGAAAGAACCGCCCTCCATCCGAGGTGCGGCTGCACAGTCGTAGGCTTCCGGCCATGCAGTATACAAGACGACTCAGGACAGAGCCCCATCTTGAAGATGAATCCCTCTTCGTCCGCTCAGCTGTTGCACAACTTCCTGTCGCGGTTCGGATCTTGCCGCACGCAAGCAGTCCACCTCGAGAGAGAGGGGCTGCCCCCCCACTCGCGCCGCTGACTTGCTCTACCACGGGCGCGTGCGGGACCAAGGCGAGAGCCCCACTTCGCCAACGGCCCGCCCTCCACTCGTGCAGCTGCGGGTCGAAGCGCGTGCGACGAGCGTGCGCGGTGCCGAGGCGAGAAAGCCCCCTTTGAGAACGACCCCGCCCTCCACCCGCGGAACCCGCGGGGAACTTCGGGCCTCGACCTCGCGAGCGGTGAACAGCTCGCAGGCGGCACTTCCGCTCCGCCCCGACGGCAGGCCTGGAGTTGCGGCAGGGAGGAGCTGTCCATGAGAGAGGGGGACGAAGGAGGAGGGGAGCGGCGAGGGGGGAGGAGGAGGAGGGAGGAGGGAGGAGGGAGGAGGGAGGCGGAGGCAGGCGGAGGAACGACGAGGGAGGAGGGAGGAGGGAGGAGGGAGGAAGGCGGCGGAATGACGAGGGGATGGGATGGGGGGGGGGGGACGAGGAGGAATGATGAGGAAGGGGAAAAGGAGGGAGGAGGAGGAGGCGGCGGAGGGGGGGCGGAGGATGAGGAGGAGGACGAAGGGCGAGGCGGGACGCCCAAGAGGGGGAGCCCAAGAGGAGGGGAGGGGGCCTCCGCAAGGGGGAGGGCGGCGGATGCAGAGCGAGGGGGCCTCGGAGAGGAGGGGAGGGGGCCTCGGAAGAGGGGCCCATGCGGCAACCCTCCCTGTCGGCCCCGCCCGAAGTGCTTCTCCGCCCCATGGCCTCGCCTCGCCTCCCCAGCCCCGAGGGGCTTTTGACGGCTTCACGCCTCTTCTCCAAGCGACTTGCGGGGATCGTGCCTGCGGACGCATCCAGCTGCCTCGCACAACTCAGCGCGCAGATCCCGAAGTGCACGGGCCAAGATTGGCGCATCGTCGGACCTCTGGCGCGAGCCGCGGAAGCGCGCAGGTAGTTGAGCCATCAGCGACCCGAATCACCGTCGACCCTCGGGATGGACGCCATATGCCTGATAAGGTCCTACTGAGGCGGTTTCGCATGACCCAAAGCCCTTCCAACAACCACCTCTCAAGGCTCGTTTTGCTTGATTCAGGCCCAACTAAGACCATAACAAAAAGGAACTCGCTACAGACAAAACTAATCAAAAAAACCCTTCGTCATTATTTCGCGTAGATCAAAATATTGCCCATATGCCATGGCATATTCATGACGTGACGACTTGAGCCTCGGCTTCTGGCCCGTCTCGAGCCGGTCCGCCTCGAGCGGTCGCACCGCTCCGCTTCCGCAGGACCCGTCGACGCCGGCCGATTCCGGGCCACTGGCGGCGTTCGGTCTGGAGCGCCCGCGCTGGGCATTTGCCGCCACGTCGACACAGCGCGAACCTGCCTGGGGCAACACACGGCGAGTACCTTTTTGAAACGAGCGGCTCGAAACGGGCGCGCTCGAAACGAGCGCGCTGGCATTCCTACATGTACGGGTGGATCGCGGCAACTCCGGCGGCCACCTGCTCGAATGTCTTCGAGAACGTGGCGTCGGCCTTGGGCTCCATGACCATGATGATGCTGATGGGGCGGCGAGTCTGGCAGGCGCCGCCGAGAACGTGCCGAGACGAGACGTAGCAGTACTTGATCCCTTTCTCCTCGCAGACGATCGGCACATGGGCGAACACGTCCATGGGGTAGATGTCGCCTGCGAGGAAGCAGATGCCCTTCTGGCCCTTCCGTATGGCCTTCGTGACTTCTGGCACTCCGCGACGGGTGGCCCCCTTCTCCGCCACCGCCTTCTTGAGCAGCTTCAGCGCCCTGTCCAGCAGCTTGTCCGTGATGAGCGGCTGCGCGAGCGGCGAGGTGTAGAGGCACTTGCGCTCCTCGGCCTGGCGGCATGGGCAGACACGTTGACTCGAACTAGGACCCTGCGGAGGGCGCAAACCAGACTAGATGCGGCAGAACGGTGTGTGTGTGTGTGTGTGTGTGTGTGTATGTTCGTCTGCTCACGACCCCCTGTACTGCGTTCTCCTGTGCGGTCTGGAACTGCCTCTCCTTCGGCGGCCACCAATTAAGCCACGAGCTGCTGCTCGGGATGTCGGAGCCACCGTCCCGAAACTCTGGCGAAACCCCGCCACCCAACTCCTGCGGAACTCATGGTTTTCGGCGGCCACCGCGAAGCAACTCGTACAGTCACTCAGGAACAGTATCGAAGAATATCTGGGAACTTATCAGGCAATGCTATAAAAAAGGTGGGTCACCACATCCTCGAAGAAACAGACCCCCATCGCCCATCGACCCCCCAGAATCGCCCAGCACCTTCCGAACATATAGTAGGAGCCCGACCACAAGAAACCTTCCACAAGAAACCCTACGCTGAGACCCCAGGACGTTCATGGATTTTTGGTGTGGGAGCGTCACGGTTTCCATGGCAAAACTATCGAAACCCAAGAATCCTAGGGCACCCTGGAGGCAAGCAGGATGTTTCTTTGCATTGGCCTCCACTGTACCCCCATCGACCCCCCAGAACCGCCCAGCACCTTCCAGAAATATCGGAATCGAACAGGAAGTCGCCTCGGTCCTCGATCCTCAGGGTGAGCCGGCGATCCCCGCTTGGCACTGCCAGGCAAGGAACCCCTCCCTACGCCCACCGCAGAGGTCTCCTTGGCCCCGCGGGCGAGGGACGGGTGCCGCTTCCCCTGGGCTCTTCGCAAGGGGGGGGTGGTGGGCAGGCTGGGAGCGCCACCTTGCCCTGTCCCAGTACAGTAGGGGCCCGACCACAAGAAACCTTCCAAAAGAAACCCAACGCTGAGACCCCAGGACGTCCACGGATTTTTGGTGTGGGAACGTCACGCTTTCCGCAGCAGAACCATCGAAACCCAAGAAACCAAGGGCACCCTGGAGGCAAGCAGGGTGATTCTTGGCATGGGTCCCCACTGTAGGAGCTGGGATGGCCATGACGGTGCTGAAGAAGAGGGGCATCCCGAGACCACCGCACGCTGGCAGACCCCTTGACTCCGCCCATCCCCTCTTGGGGGTGACCTCGTGACACATTGTGTTTGTTTCAATTGAAGTGCTCCCCCCGGGGCTCGCACCCTGTTGTTTACCAAAGAAACAACAATGGTCAAACTGCGCCCCTGGCCCCCGGGTTACAACAACAACGGCTCCCGCCTGAGACTTCTTCATACTTTAGCCAGGGCCCCCGCTCCCGCCTGAGACTTCCTCGCATTTTACTCATGAATCGTGCTCTCGCTTAGGATTTCTTTGCAATTTATGCAAGAATCGCTCTCTCGGTGCTGTGGAGTCGCGCTTTCGTTAGAGACTTGCTTGCAACTTATTTAAGAATCGCAGCCTTGCGTTGCAATTCCCCACATTTTACGCCAGCGCCGTGTTCCCAACACTCGGGCACCCAGGAGTCGCGCTCACGCCTAGGACTCTCTCGCAACTTACTTAGGAATCAGAATCTCGCTGCCCTTCGTGGCCCCGTTGCAACCCTTCGTGGCCCCCTCGCTTTGTTTCGTGGCCCCGTTGCAGCCCTTCGTGGCCCCCTCGCTGCCCTTCGTGGCCTCGCTGCAGCCCTTCGTGGCCCCCTCACTGCCCTTCGTGGCCCCGTTGGTATTCTCAGTGGCCCCCTCGCTGCCTTCCGTGGCCCCGTTGCAGCCCTTCGTGGCCCTCCTCGCTGCCCTTCGTGGCCCCATAGATGTATGCCCTTCGTGGCCTCCGCTCGCTCGCGCCCGTCGTGGCCCCATGCGCATGCTCTTCGTGGCCCCGCTGTCGCCCTTCGTGGCCCCCTCACTGCCCTACGTGGCCCCGTTGCTGCCCTCGGTGGCCCCGTCCTCACTCTTTGCGGCCCAACATGCGTATGCCCTTCGTGGCCCCCGCTCGTTCGCGCCCGTTGTGGCCCCACATGCATGCCCTTCGTTGCCCCGCTGTCGCCGTTTGTGGCCCCCTCACTGTCCTACGTGGCCCCGTCGCTACCCTCGGTGGCCCCGTCGTTGCCCTCTGTGGCCCCGCATTATTTGCCCTTCGTGGCCCCCGCTCGTTCGCGCCCATCGTGACCCCATACGCATTCACTTCGTGGACCCGCTGTCGCCTTTCGTGGCCCCCTTGCTGCCCTTCGTGGCCCCATGACTGCCTTTCGTGGCCCCGCTGTCGCTCTCGCTCTCGCTTTCTCTTCCGCTCGTCGTCGTCGTTGTCGTCGTCGTCGTCGGTCCGTCCGTCTTTCTTGGGGTCGGGGTGCCGACGGTCAGCGCTGCCGCTGGCCAGGCCGACCGTCCGCGGCGGCCCCGCCGCTTGCCGGGGCCCGGTCTGCAGGAAAGAACAATTTTCACCCCCAAAAGGATACGATCGAAGACGAAGCGGGCGGGTATCGAGGGTTTGGGAAATACGCGTTGCACGGCACTCGAACAGATAAGAGCGAACAGTCTTAAACTGATTGTTGTTGTTGCTGCTGCTGGTGGTGTTGTTGTTGTTGTTGCTGCTGTTGTTGTCGTTGTTGTTTGATGTTAATTACTAAACAGTTCTTATTGTTGGACCCCCACAGGCGCTTTGACGCTCTCGCCTCGGCAATAGCTACATTTTCATTGAAAATGTGGCTCACGCTCGAACGGTTTGGGTGGCGCCCAAACTGGCCCCCAACAGCAACAACGCTCCCGCTCGAGACTTCCTCCTTTTTTAACTCAGGATTGGTGCTCTTGCTCGCCGCCGAAAGCCTCCGTCCCAACAAAACCAGCGCTACCGCTCGAGACTTCTTCCCGTTTAGGCTGGCGCGCTACTCTTTCTCTCATCAGCGCCGCCCCCAGCAACAACAACGCTCCTGCTCGAGACTTCCTTCCTTTTCTACCCGCGGTGCTCCTCCTCGCCGCCGAAAACCGCCGTCCCGACAAAACAAGCGCTCCCGCCCGAGACTTCCTCCCGTTTTGCGCTGGCTGCTCTGTTTTGAAATGGCGCCGCTCCCAACAAGAGCAACGCTCCCGCTCGATGCTTCCTCCCCTTTTCCTCAGGACAGTTCTGTTCCTCGCCGCCGACAGCCCCCGTCCCGACAAAACCACGGCTCCCGCTCGAGACTTCCTCCCTTCTTACTCAAGGCGGTGTTCCTTTTCGCCGCCGACAACCGCTGTCCCAACAGAACCAGCGTTCCCGCTCGAGATTTCGTTTTGTTTTGCGCTGGACTAGCGTCCTACTCTCTTCAGCATTGGCGCCGCTCCCAGCAACAGCAACGTCCCTGCTCGAGACTTCCTCTCTTCCTATTCAGGGCCAAGTCCTTGTGTCGCCGCCGACAGCCCCCATCTCCACCAAGGCAATCCTGTCGCTCGATATTTCCTTGTGCTTTACCCTTGGCTGGGGCTCCACTGTCGGTCTCGCGTCGGCGCAGCAAGGCGCGGGCATGCGTTCTCGAGGCGGGATAGGTTGAAATTCCTCGGAGGAGGTGTTTGCAAGACCCCATTGGGAGGGAGATCTGGGAATGGGATCAACGGACCACGCTATAGAACAATAGTCCCCCATGATGAGGATGATTATCATGATGGTCGCATGCTTCGAGGAAGCATCGCGCATGAGGGTAAACTGATTAAACCCTCACTTTTGAACAACAAGTGGCACGCGTGCCCTGGCTCTTGCACAAAGGTGTCCGAGGCTCAGGGGGGCTGCCCTGGGAAGCCTGGGCGGGGGGGGGCAGAGGGGGGGGGCAGGGGGACGAACGACACGACACGACACGGAAATAAAAGTGGCCCAGGGGGGCTACCCTGGGAAGGGGGGCAGGGGGGGGGGGGGGCGAGGGGGACGAACGACACACGACACGACACGAAAACAAGTGGCACGCGTGCCCTGGCTCTTGCACAAAGGTGTCCGAGGCTCAGAGGGGGCTGCCCTGGGAAGCCTGGGCGGGGGGGGGGGCAG